AGGGAATTTGGGCTCTCTAAAGCTCCACCTGCCTTTCCGAGCTTCAAACTGGAAATGTGCAGCAAGGCCTCTTCAGTCTTTTGCACCCTCTTCGCCTGTGCGGAGGAAAGAATGAGGTTGTCTGCGGTTTCAGAATGAGTAACTAAGGTGACAGATTATAATGGTCTGTCACTGTTAAGATAACAGTGGTGTCTTAGTCTAGGGGAAAAAAAAAAACACTCCAATGTGTAATATATCAGTTATAATTTTTCAAGATTTTTTTTTCTTGCTACCTTAGTCACTTTCTATTGACCACCAACTCAAGCACCTACTTGACTAGAACCTTAAGAGAAGAGGAAGGAAGAGGGGGAAGATGTTAGTGATGTAGCATAGAATGTAAAGGAAAATTCTCCTTTAAAAAAATACTTAAATTTACTGAAAGTTTAATGTATAGATGTCAACATTGTATTAGGTGCTATAGAGGAAATGAAAAATACACACCTTATACTTAGTTCTGAAAAATTCTTCTTAAATGAATGTTTGGAACATGATTCTGTGAGTTGTATCCATGTTAACTAAAATGTTTTAAAAAATATTTGTGGAATTAGAATAATGAATACTTTTCATTGCTCCCTTGTTCTTTTCTCTGTTTGCACATCTAAACATGTGTTCAGGTCAAACATAAGGGGGGTCATTTGGGGTTTCTCTTGCTGGTTTTGTTTTTTCCTTCATTTAGACCAGTACATTTTCTTTCCCTTCCTCCTAGCAGGGTATTGGTAAAGAGGATACTGGAGTCCAAATTTCCTGAGATATATTCTGGAGGTTTCCATAATATTTGAATTTATTGCGATAAATTGGTTGTTTTTTTGTAGAGTCATTAAAGAAACATTTTAAGAATATTAAAATTACCTGTGTTTTCATTGTGGAAGTTATTGATAATGAAGATACCTGAGTACCACTTTATAATGGGTAGATATGAATACTTCCTTAAACATTTTTGCTAGAAATATAAAGCTAAGCATGTTTGAGCTGTACTGATCCTTAGAACTCCTGAGTAATTTTGGCATGTACTTAACATGACATCAATAAACTGCCCTTTTGACCTGCTTTCAGCAGTCAAGAGCAGTTTAACTCAAATCCCAAGTGCACGTTACTGCCAGGGGCTGTGAGTGCCTCCCCCTACCAAAAATACATTTGGCCAGCTCTGAGGTATTTAAATCATTGCGGGATTATAAAATTGGAATAAGATGAAAGTATAAAATTGGCATAGCAGTCTTGTAGAGGTATATGTGGCTTTTCTTCACCACTACCGCTATTATTTTTAAATGAAGTGTATACCTCAGAAGTTTACCAAATGCACATTTTCCTTTTCCTGATGCTTTTACCTGAGATTTCCTACTCTCAGGCTGTGGCTTTTTACCAGCACTCTTTTGTGGAATCTCAATGCCTAATCTTGTGGACTTTCAACTTATTTCATTTAACCCTCTTTTCTGAGAGTCCCCCCGCTAGTCAATATTATCAAATCAGGAGTCAACTTTGTTCAATAGAGTTCTGTGTCAGAATCTGATACTTTAATCAGATTAACCAAAGCATTGAGTCAGAGGAAGATGAAGGCCTGGTCACACAAATGAATGTGAAAAAGGAAAGTGTTTTTGCTCATAGAATATGGTGTGCTGCGTAATGTGTTCTTGGGCTCTTAGTTCATTTAAATTTTGCTTTGACATTTTGTGTCTTCAAATGGCTTCAAGCAGAATTACTTGTGCCCTTTGATTCTTTTGGGTTATTTTGACTTTCAAAGATTGAATATAACAGTTAAAAGGAAAATAAGCTAGCTTTGATGTCTGATTGAGAGACCGACTAAGGGTTCCTGAATAACTATTTTTGGCTTTCAGAATGATAAACACAAGCCAATTTTGAATTCAACTGACAGTAAAAATATTTTTTAGGTATTTATCAATTTGTTCTCAGCTCTTTCTGTTATAAAGAACACTGATTTTTTTTTTAAGGCTTTTGTTTTTTCCCCCACATTACAAATTCTACCTGCTAATAATCAGTGTCTAATCATTTCCATGTGCATCTGGAGAGCTAGGGGAGGGGAGTGGCAATAGCGGCTGATTGGTAGTTTGAAGCTTTGAAGGAAATTTCTTGATGTGTAAGTTTAATTCAGAGTTATTAATTAGCTTGGGAACAAAGTCCTCTTTGAACTGTTTCTTTGGGAACATGGAGATTAGTATGATTTCGTTATACTGCATTTGGCAAAGGAGATGGAATCACTTCTTTAGACACTCCCTTGCTTGCATAAATGATGCTGACCTAGTTTTGTAAACTGGTGAACTGGGTTATGCTTCTTGTATGCCAATAGCCGATAATATGCTTAAAGTAAATACTTTCCTGTGACTATTATGCTTACTTTCTGAGATGATTGTGCAGATAAGGAATGAGGAAGGAGGCCAGGTTGAAGACTGATTTTAGTTTATGTAGGCTTAAAGAAACTGCTCAACCTGCATTTTTCATTCTTAAGTAATGTTTACAGTAGATGCATATTGCCTAATGTGAATGCAGCTCTGTTCATTCAGAGGAGAGAGTGAGAAATGACAAGAGTATCCTAGAAGAGCTGCAGGGAAACTATTCAGTATTTATTAGTTTGTAATTCTAGAACTCTTGTTCAAAGTACGTGTGTGACTGCAAAATGACCCAAGGCTGAGTATGGTATACAAGCTTTCAGATTGAAGCTGAAAGAATAATAATACTTTGCTAATTTCTGGTGTACTCTTCGAATGTGAATGTTTTCTAATAAACATTTAAAGTTTTATTTTTGCTATAAGGCAAAGCTGCTTTGTGAATTATCTCCATCAAGAATTAGTACTTAGTTCTCTTACTTGCAATATGGTATTACACTTTGAAAGTTCTCTACAAGTTCACTTTTATTTGACACAGTTTTTGTTTTTGAATAAAATGCAACCTTCAAACAGAACCAAAGGAATAAGTTTCTCTTTTTGTTTTGGTAATGGAATGCATTGTTTCTCTTTGATACTTGATAAAGAGGTACTGTGTCTCCTCCACCCCCAATAATGCAAAAGAAGTGAGTTTCAGACTTTAATACATGATGTTAGCTAAAAGGCCAAGAAGGAGCAGTCTCCTAAGTCTTTCATGACCTATTAATTATTTGGGAGGCCATCTTCATTCTAAATTCTGAGAAGGCTGCGCTCATATGTCTTCCATTGCTTAGATATACAAGGGCGTTCTTTGGAACCTCATCCTTTTCTTTCACTTCTATTTACTTACTGAAAGGGCTAATGGTTCTTCCTATACATAACTAGACTGATTTCCAAAAATTTATTTGAAAATGATTGTTTAAAATCTGTAATACATTTTCTTATAGATGCACTCAAGCTGGGCTTTTTGTGTGTGTATGATTGTGCCTTTTGGGGAGATACATTTTTTTTTCAAATCCGTTTCTTATAGAGAAATAATTCAAACATACAATTAAGAAAAATATGACACCTGTATACCCTCCACTGGCATTATCAAATCTTGATATGCTATTTTTTCAAGTTGGTTTTTAATTCATAAAGTAATAGAATGAAATACTTTGGAGATGAATTTCTGTTTAAACCTTATTTGTATGGCTAACTGCCAGCAACACAGTCCTTCCTGCAGGGGCATAAGAATTCCCGCAGCCAACAGCCAGGGGAGGCATTTGGATGAGCTGCAGATGTTAATGTAAATGCATAGATCGGTGGCTCACGAAAAAGACTGCTTGTCACAAATGCAGTTTCCCCTAATCCCTGAGATCACACACATCAGAACTACTTTTTCTTTGTGTCTCTGGTGGGTGTTTGCATGAGCCAGTTTATTTTAATCAGAGTCAGAGCGTATGTAAAGTTCAATAAGTTGGGAAGCCTTAAAACAAACAGAACTGATATCCTAGATTTTATCTATGCTAAAACTTGGGCACTCTCTCAGTACAGAACTATCATAATGTTAGGTAGGTAGAATAGGAAAAAGGAGTTCAGATTGGTGGTGACTAAAAGACAAGGAAGGGAAAAGCCCAGAAAGTAGAACAAAGGAAGGTCAGAGGACCAGAATGAGGACCTCAGGTAAAACAAACAGCACTCCTGGCTAGCCCAGTTTACATAGGGCAGTCCTGGGGACCGGAGGAAAAAACTTCAAAAGAGGAGCTAAAGGGCTGGGGGCGGGGCGGGGGGGGGGGGTGTCTCTCTTTCTCTTCTCTTTGTGTCTTCTGGGTTGGCATGTACTCATGCCTTGAGGATGTATTTTCTTTTATTTTCTAAATAAAACTGAGCTGTCACACAGAGTGGAAACACTGATCTGTCCCGAGAGCTGAGACACCGTCTGTCCGAGGGCTTTAATGTCCATCGCTTCAAATTTTTATTGTGATGAGACAGAACCAAGGAAATTACACACTCCCACGACAATAAATATTCTATTAACCAGTTATTTTATTTTCTAATTTCTACTCGTCTAAGAAACTTTGTTATTGTTAATATTTGCTCCACCTTTTCTTCAGAGCAATGAAGTTGAGAAGGGAAGACTATTTATTTACACCTGTTTTCTATATTCTCCCTAATCAAAAGTGTGGGCCTGCCAGAACTGCAGCTTGGCGTCACGAGGGAGGTGGTCTGAAATACGGCATCTCAGGCACCACCCGGCAGACTGAATCAGAATCTACATTTTAACAAGATCCCCAGGTGTTTGTAGGTTTAAGCTGGAGAAGCACTTGTTCTATGTGATCTGTGCACACTGTCAAATTTAAACACTGTGAGTGGGTGGGGTAGGTAAATCGATTCATTTTTGAACCACTATTCTCAGGAATAGGCTGTTAAGTGCCACTTTCTTTAAGACTTCATTCTTGGTAATATCTAATGATATATCAGTTGTATTTGAAATTACTGATGGAGTGTCTCTGTCTCTCTTTCTACTCAGTTGCATCATTTTTCTGGAAGGCATCCCATTATTGTTCCATTGACCTTTCTCTCATTCCTGAGCCCTCTGGAGTTATGTCAACAGCTGCCTTACTTACTTTGGTAAGAAGTGGTGGGAACCAGGTGAGGAGGAGAGTGCTGCTCAGAGCCCATGGGCTGCAGGTGACACCCACGTGCCATAGCTCCACTTCAGAGCTGAGATGGTCTCGCTTTGATCCTGATGGTAGCGGCCGACCAGCCACCTGGGATAATTTTGGCATCTGGGATAACCGCCTGGAGGAGCCAATTCTGCTGCCACCCAGCATTAAGTATGGCAAACCAATTCCCAAAGTCAGCTTGCAGAATGTGGGCAGCGCATCGCAGATTGGCAAACGGAAAGAGAATGAAGACCGGTTTGGCTTTGCTCAGCTGACCAATGAGGTCCTGTACTTTGCGGTGTATGATGGCCACGGTGGACCTGCAGCGGCTGATTTCTGTCACACCCACATGGAGAAATGCATCCTGTACGTACAGTGATACAGTGACTTTCATTCTTTGCAGTTTGCTGTATCTTTCCTGTTTAAACTTTCACCTTTTGGCTGAGACAGCCACTGTTAAGGTAGTTATTTGACTGCTTTCATACTATTGTTTTATGAACAAGCAGTAGCTCAAGCATGCTATTAATTTCTGATGAGTATTACCATTTCAGAAATGTGTATGTTTTAACCACTCTCTTGGTGAGAGCACTGACCAGAATCTAACAGCACTTGTGATCATTTCAAGGGAATTCACATAATAAAGTACATGATCTCATGTACTCTGATAAATAGTAATTATTCTTTCAAGCGGTATGAATAGCTTTGTTGAAAATAGCTTTAGATGATTGGCAAAAACATGGGGAAAATGCTTTTAATGAGGGTGTTTTGGAGCTGTTTAAAAAGTTTATTTACAGCAGTCAATATTAATGTATTTTTGAGGATCACACTACTAGAATTAAAAGAGGGGGAGAACATGTAACAGTTACAACCATGTGACTGTTCTGCCCAAGCATAGTTATTCATACTGTTCATCAATTGATTTATGTATATTTTGCCTTACTCCACGAAGGAACTCAGTGGCTTAATTTAGTATAAAAGAACTCCTGATCTCTCAGGATTGTGGTGGTGAGGATTAATATCTTTAGATTGGAGACTTAGGCTTTTATTTTATTGTTTTTAGAACTTATCCCTGGGCCTGATTCTTTCTCAATTTGATTTATTAATATGTGGATCTTAAGCATCTGAAAGGCTTCCCAGGAGGCTCTAATGGTAAAGAACCCACCTGCCAATGCAGGAAACTTAAAAAAGATGTGGGTTGGATCCCTGGGTCAGGAAGATTCCCTGGAGGAGGAAATGGCAACCCACTCCAGTATTCTTACTTGGAGAATCCTATGGACAAAGGAGCCTGGTGGGCTTTGGTCCATTTAGTTGCAAAGACTGAACAGCATCTGAAAGGCAAACCTGAGAGGTCCATTGTATGGAATCTCTGCTCGCTGGAGGGACAAAGAGGAAGGTGGGAAACCTATTGTAAAGTGATTGGTCTCTTTTTTTCTCTCCCTGAAGGGATTTGCTTCCTAAGGAGGAGAACTTGGAAACTGTGTTGACCTTGGCTTTTCTAGAAATAGATAAAACCTTTGCAAGGCACGCCCACCTATCTGCTGATGGTAAGTAAAACAATCTCATTCTTTAAAGTCCTGGGGAATTTGGGGTAAGAAGGAAACAATTTAAGCTTTTCAGGGGTGGGAATTTTAATGTTTATTGTAAGAATGCTTACATTGAAAATGACTTTTTAAATAATCATTTTAAATGTTGTTTGGAATCCAAACTAGGGGTAGTATCTCACATTTAAATGAGACATATTAGAGGTTGTTTTAGAAACTGAAGCTCCAAAATAGATCTGATGTTGAATTTTGATCTTAAAAAAGATTAAACATTAAAAAAAATCTGCTTGTTCATTTTATGAACAAGATGCCTGTACTATGAGAGGGTTTATTGTTTTTGTTTTTTAGAGGAATCTGAAGAACGACTACTGAAATTTGCTACAGGGTAATCTCAGAGAGTAGTTGTCCAGACAAGAAAATTGCTAGTTGGTCCTCAAAAGGACAATGGTTAATAGTACTACTTTGTGAAATTAGAAGGAAGATATTTTTTTCTTCCACTTCTTAAAAAAAAACTTGATCTTGCAGCTTTCCTATGGTAACTAGTTGACATTTTTGTTTTTATTAGTTAAACACAAGGGTATGACAGCTGACTTTTAGAATTTGTGTACTGGATGCCCTTATATTTTGAAAGAAAAATGTCTCTGATTTTGACTAAATTTTTAAAAACCATTTCATGAAAATGTAGCTAATGTTTTCTAGTAAGCTGGCCCCCAAATTTATTGCTTATAATTTTTGAACGCTTCTATAGCAAACCATTAAAATGTGTGCATATAGACTTCATAACTGATTTTAAAATGAATCATGCAATAATATTCATCTGTCTTTTGTTCATTCTCTTGTTTGCTACTGCTGCTAAATCACTTCAGTCGTGTCCAACTCTGTGTGACCCCATAGACAGCAGCCCACCAGGCTCCTCTGTCCCTGGGATCCTCCAGGCAAGAATACTGGAGTGGGTTGCCATTTCCTTCTCCAGTGCACGAAAGTGAAAAGTGAAAGAGAAGTAGCTCAGTCGTGTCTGACTCTTTGCGACCCCATGGACTGCAGCCTGCCAGGCTCCTCTGTTCATGGGACTTTCCAGGCAAGAGCACTGGAGTGGGGTGCCACTGCCTTCTCCCTTGTTTAGAGGACGTCAAAGCTCACCACAGCAATGTGTAGGGCTGGAAATTCTCCCCATTTTACAGATAAGGAACTGAAACTCGGAGAGAGAAAAGGTCAGTTGGAGAGCTAGGGCTGGGATTTTCCTGGCACCCACCGTGCCCTCTCTCACAGGCATGTTTAATGATGAGTATTAGGATGACTCTAGGATGGCTTCATTTGCCATCCTAAGACACTTTGCTTCCCTTTTTCAGTACCTTTATCACTGTCATACTTCTCCGAAAAACTTTAGAGTCCACTCTCATTGTTCAAGGATTTATTTTCTCATTTGTAGATTACTTAGGTCCATTCTCTCTTTTTCATTCCTTTGGAGGTTTTCCCCCCTTCCAACTGGCTCCTGAGCTTGTGAAAACAGGAGTTGAGAGAGGGTAGATTTTAGCATAAGATTCTATTCTTGTTCCTAATGGGTAAAACATACGAAGGTGAAGAGGACATTAAAACACTTTCTTATAGTTTTATTTTCGTAACTCTGAATACTGGTATGCTCTTATTTCATTTATGAGCAGGTCGGCTGTATCTCACACCATGAAGTTTATCAGCTGTAGTGCAGGTGGTGTGCCCCAGCTGTTGAGTAAACAGGTAGAGCTCAGTGGGCAAGGTTTTCAGAAAGGAATGTTCAGGTGTATCTTGGAAATGTGGCCAACAATAAAAGACCAATAACCTTTCATGGGTGTAGTCAGCCCTTTTGTGCAGGATCTAATTGATAAAAATGCTTAAAACAGTGACAGATTTAGTTTAAAATGTGAGAGGACTCCTTTCATTTATGAAATAATAAATTACAGTTAAAGGGAATTTTGAATTTAGGGAGAGAACTGATCTAACTTGCTCTCTTAAAAGAAATTTTCTACAGAAACCTTTCTCACATCAGTTTAGCAAAGGGATGAATAAAATAGTTCTTCATTTCTAATAATTAAATGAAAATGTATTCATTTAAACTTAGTTCCTCTGTCATAATTTTTGAGTTAATGATCTCAGAACTTTCATAAGATATTCTAAAGTTTATTTTTCATTTAGTGGCAATTTGCTTAAAAGTATAATGGAGCATGACAGAATGATGGTTAGCATACTACTAAAGGAAAAAGAAAGGATCTATTATGACATTGTCCTTGAATCTTATTTTGGATGTATTCTTATGGGTCAATTAGTCTCTGTGGTTTTTTTTTAAATAAGTATTTTGAGAACAATTTTGAAATTTATTCTTAATCAGTTGCCAGGCTTTCAAAGATTTCAAAAATTGGCTTTTGATATTTGGGGTTTATTTTATCAAACATACTAAACTTTTCAATTTGTGGATTTAAAAATAACATAACACCACTTCAGATTTCAAAATTATTATTTAAATTAAATTTTTTTTTTTTTACTTTTTAGTAGAACTGAAGCAGTATCAGTATTATAAGAGTAGATAATATTCTTTTTGGCATAGCTGTGGGTAGGACCAGGGCTAGTTATATAAATTGTGAAGAAGCGCAGTTTGCCCTCTCCAATTTCTTCCACTTTTTCTTTTAGCATCAGCTCCATTTGTCCTCACTGAACCCTTTTCTGTGAGCAGCGTGAGGGTAGGGACCATGGCTTATTCATTTTTGAATTTCTAGTGTTCAGCATCCTGCATAGAGTCTGAAAAATACTCAATAATTATTTGGACTAAACTGATCTCCATTGCTTACCTTTATCACGGAAGTAATTATAACTTATAACTTGACTATCCTATAGCCAATTTAACTAAATTATTTAATGTATATATTTTAATGTGTTACCACTTCTGGGGGTATTTGAATTTTGAGTAAGGAAAGCTGAAAAGAGATTGGGTAAACCTCAGGAATGAATCACTAATGGTGGAATTTCAGGTGGTGTAAGAGTGCCCCATGTCATACTATTAGCTTTCTCAAAAGAAAGTGAAAATAATAAGGGGAAAATAAAACATACTCATCTTTTTAAGACTTTCATCTAAAGCTGCCATATCTGCACAAAATACTTCAAGCTTTCTCATTAGCATTTAAAATATTTATTATTTCAGTTTTAAATGAGGGTAGTTGAGGAGAATAAAATCAGAATATTGTTTATCAAGAAACAGCCCTTAAGAAATTGCTGGCTATCTATATTGATTTGTTGTAGATGCATTTTGAATTTACCCTTATTTACAAATAGCTAATTTCATCATCATCTTTGAATATTTTGTATTCACTTTATACCAGTCATGTGTATTTTTACAATTAATGAAATCAGCCAGTAAGTTCAAATGATGTCTGTCCCATTAGTTTATTGTTTAATGGACAAACTGTCACTTAAACCAGATGGAAGAAAATTTAGATGATATCCTATATATCCAATAAACTCTTCGAAGTGTTTCTAGATTACTTAAGATTTGAAAGCAACAAAGCTCCCCAAGAGACAAATGGATCAAAGAGAGAAGATGCTCTGACGTTCAGAGTGGGAGACGTTGGTGGCAGTATTGTGAGTCTTGTTGGAAACTTCCCTGCTCTTCGTATTATTTGATCTCTTTATGGAAAGATTAAACTAAAAAATAACCAGTATGAGAAATGCAATGTGTCTGATTACCCTTGTTATGTTGGAGGCAGCCAAAAACAAAACAATAGGGACAGCGTTGGAGAGATACTCTTATTGTGCCGTTACTGCTTCAACTTGTTCCTCTGATTTAGTGTTTATGATTCATACATATCTAGAACGTCATTTTGGTAAATATTGTAACTATATTTGTTTATCCATATTGTTGATACAGTTGAATGATTTCTGGGTGGGGGTGGTTATACTTTGAAAAGTACAGCTTGATTCTTTATGTTGCCATTCAAAATCTTGATCATTTTTTCTTTTGATATATTGACCTGCAACACTGGGGGAAAGAGAGAGCTGCAGAAACTCCCATTTTATGAATTACATAAAATTGTAAACATTCTTTAGCACTCAAGAGCCTTACTAGCTTTTATCTAAACAATTAAATTAATCATTCTGTTCAGGAAATACTGTCTAGATCCTAAAATCCCTGCATTTACCAATAACAAATAAGCTACTCCTTGTATCTGGTATAGGAGGTGCTTTGATTCCTTTTGATTTATATTTTAATCCTAGCAATTTGGTAGTATCCTGTAGTTTACATCCTTTCTAGTATGCTTGTCAGATACGAATTATTAAGTGCTCTACCCGTAAATTTCCCTTTTCTTACTGGGACAATTCTGATATTGATACCAAACATATTTACAGTGTTTTTTTTCAACTCAGTAAAGGTACTGATTTACTGTTCAAGATGAATTGGCTGAGTCTGTGTGTATGTCACCACATATGTGTGTTGGTGCACATACATTTGGATATGGGTTTTCCTACCTTGGAAAGACACAAAACTAAGAAGTGTTACTCTGTGATGAAGAAAACAGACTCAACTACAAAATACGATCAACTTGGTCAAACTGAGTTTTGGAATCATTGACTTGGCATCTCCTGGAATATTATGTAATTTGCTACTGAAAATTTCACCAAAATAAAAACCCTTCCCCTTATTTTGCAGCTCTTTCTCTACCCTCCCCTGTGTTACAGGTTTGTAATGTTTGAGCACAATTCCTGGGTGAATTTCCTATTTGCCTCTGTGCGTGTTATTTGTGGCAGAGAACTGTGCCTGGTCAGCAGCTCTAGACCTGGAGCCCGTGGACACTATATGCTGGGCTTCAGTGGAAAGAGAGATCTGCTTAATTTTGTCCCAGGTGAAGGAGTCCGGCGGTTCCTAGCCTGGACTACTGGAAGGTTCCCACATCCTCTTTGTCCCATTAGTTGAGATGACTTGCAGTAGAAAATGTCCAGTGAGTGTTAAGAACTTATTGAAAGATGTCTTAGTTTTATAATTTTATTGTTAAGGAAGAAAGTGAGAATTTTTACTCCCATGTTAAATGTTAAATGAAACTAAATGCTGATTTAATATTTATATTCTTAGATGCTTAGCAAACCAGAATCAACTGTTTAAAAAACTTTCCCATAAATCCTGGGATTTTGGAACTGTGAAGTTGGGTTGGTTAAAAACTCAAACTCTTTTAAATATCTAGGTGGCAGAGCCATGGATTATAATCCTAAATGGCTAAATTTGAAGTTTTTCATCTATGAAGTATTAACTCTTTTGAGGTAGCCAATTAAAAAACACTCAGAAAAAAAAAAAAGCTGCCCGTTACATTTTAAGCAAACGAGAGGAGCATTCAACTCCCTGAACAAGTAGCATCTGAGTAAATGCCTATGTTTCTTACCAGGCTCTTCTAATCATTTGAAAAGATAACAGTGGTTCAACTGTAAAGATTCCCTTATATAATGTTTTATGAAACTAAAAACTTAACGTTTGTAATATAAACATCACCGATACTTAACACAAAAACTTTTGTGTTATACAATGACAATATATAATCTACTTTAGTATTGCCACAATGATATTACTTTGGCACATCAGTTCCAAAACCAAAAGATAAATGGGAAGATAGTGCAACTATAAATGCTACTTCTCAGTAAATTCAGCATGAATATAGGAGATTAAGCAGGGTTTATTCATTTTTTCCCCCCATTTTTACTTTTCTGATTAAAGCAGGCATTTTAATACATTGATTGGAAAATATATACATATATATCTTTCCAAATGCATTACTGCTGTTTTAAAAATTGCCTTAAAAAAATTGGAAAGACAGCCTCAATCAGTCAGTAGCATTTCATTTTTCTTAAATCTGCCTTTGAAGTCAAAATCATTTTTAGATGATCACCTGAATATTTTACTTAGATGCTTTAAAGAATTAACCATGTTACTGAAGATAATACCTGCTTTAACTGTTATCTTTTTAGATTTTTTCAATTTGCTTTACTTTTCAGTCTACTTTCACAGTATTCTCTCTTTGACAAGGCTCAATGCACCCTCAAAAATTTCAACAAGTAGTGACGAACTTAGGGCAGACAATTTAGAATAAAGTAAAGAAAGATGCAAAATGCACTTTGAATTGGATGAAGGAAACAGCGATGACCTCAGGCCAAGCTACATATAATTTTGTTATTGGTTATGGGAAATTAACATCCTTGGAATGCTCTGGGCCCAGGCTGTGACCACAGGAGCAGCACTTGGCAGTACTTTTCCTGCATTTGGGTACAGACTGATTGTTTCAGATCCTGCTGAAACCAGAAGTGTGAACTATACCAAGTTTATGGGAAACTAGAATGAATTTCATTCCCTGCCCTCCACATTTTCTCCTAATATAATGATGGCTGTGACTTTGTTTTACATCTGGGGAGGACAAAGATAATCATGAAAAGAATGTGAACCTTTAACCATTTTAGGATTTCTTTTTTTTTTGGTGAACATTTGTAAAATTAAAGCAGTTACAGAAGGAAAGAATATAAAATACAGTTCTTAAAGAGCCAATGAAACACTTGACATATCTTGCTTAGCCTATTAATTGATAATACTTCCATAGGATGGGGGTAGAAGAAAAAAGCTGAGTGTGTAGATTACAGAAAAGTTGGCTTGCCTAAAAGGACTCTGTAGACCTAAATCACTCTGCCTTATTAGCCAATCTAATTAAAATGTAATACTTTTAATCCTGACACGTTATGTACACAAAAAGATGTCAGAATGATAAATTCAAGTGAGTTCTACTTTATATAAATAGAAGCCATTTTGAAATAGTGATGCATTTTTACCAAATTAGGTTAGCAGGTTTTTCTGTTTGCATAGAGCCTTGTTACTGAATTAAATACTTCTTTTTCTGCATGCTCTTACTTCCATAGTTCATTTGCATTTTATTTGCATAGCTCTAGTTAAATTAGAATGATACATTTCAGCATTAGTTTAACATGCCTGTGTTTTATTTTGTAATAAACATTCCAGATCCAATCATTTGATTGTCACTGATTTGTACTCTTCTTCATCATTTGCAGCAACGCTTCTGACCTCTGGGACTACTGCAACAGTAGCCCTATTGAGAGATGGTATTGAACTGGTTATAGCTAGTGTTGGGGACAGCCGAGCTATTTTGTGTAGAAAAGGAAAACCCATGAAGCTGACCAGTGACCACACTCCAGAAAGAAAAGATGAGAAAGAAAGGTAACAATCCGTTGATCCATCTATGAGGATGATATGTATATAGTTCAAAATAGAAATAAAACCTTGCATTTTAAACTGACTTCATGCTTAAGTTTAATCCTTGGTTTTCTGGGTATCACATCATAGTCTTTTAACTTTTTTTGACCAGGATTAAGAAATGTGGGGGGTTTGTAGCTTGGAATAGCTTGGGACAGCCTCACGTGAATGGCAGACTTGCAATGACAAGGAGTCTCGGAGATTTGGATCTTAAAACCAGTGGTGTGATAGCAGAACCTGAAACAAAGAGGATTAAGGTAAGAAAAGACTTGCAAACACTTGCTAGCAAACACAGGCAAGGAATGAACACAGGATTGTTTCCAGCCACAGGCTTTCTTGGAAGCCTTAATTGAAGCCTGTATGACTTCTAAAAAAGAAGTGATTAATGAAAGGAAAGATAAACTTTTCAGATAAAGTAAGATACTACTTTCCTGGCCTTATGTATGATGAAGTGTTGGCTTTGTTTCATCCTGCTATGGAGTTTGCCTGGAAGCTTGGTTTTACCTCCCTTCCTCACCTGCACCTCATCCTTCAGCATCACCATCATTTGGAAGCTATCCTGACTTCCCTTTTCCACCAAATCAGAGAATCACCCCACCTCTCTTTCAGGGACATCTTCTGCTTGCTACTAATCATTGTCCCCCTTACACTACACTTCCCCTAGCATACACCTAGTGGTGAACTGATACTTTACCTATACAAGTCCCAGCCTGCTCTAGTACCTCACACACTGTATATGGGGGTAGGCTCCCAATAATGGCAGCAAATGATTATTAATTTATGGAACAGTTTTATGTCTTATAGATATCCCACTTATGTTCATTTCATCTAACAAATACTTATATAGCAGTTTACAATGTGTTGGACTCTGTTCAAAATAGCTACTCCTAGCCCATTTTATAGAGAAAACAAATCTGGAGCATATACAGTTCAACTTACCTATGTTTTCCCAGCTGAAAAATAGAGGTGGGCTTCACACCCAGGAGGTCTGGCTTCAGATACTCTTAGCCATTATATTAGGCTGCCTCTCAGCATTTAGCTATCTGGCTTCTTCCTCCATGGTGTTACTAAATAAATGTTAGGTCTGTCCTCCATGATTGATGCTAAATGTTGCTGTATTTGCCCTAAATGCAGGCCTGTTTTCACTCTGTTTGTCTGTAAGTTCTGAAACACAGATGACTACTCTGTAAACAGATAAAAATCACTGAATTATGAAGATTATTCTAAGGCCAAGTCTAGTTTGTAATTCTATACATTTGGTTCTGATTGCAGCTTCTTCATGCTGATGACAGCTTCCTGGTCCTCACTACAGATGGAATTAACTTCATGGTGAACAGTCAAGAGATTTGTGACTTTGTAAATCAGTGCCATGATCCAAATGAAGCAGCCCATGCAGTGACTGAACAGGTAACACAGCAGAGCTTCTGCTAGAAAAATCCCAAAGTGGGGAGGAGAGGACAAAGCGAGGTGCAGGTCTTGGTGCAGCCAGGAGGGGCCACCACTGTCTGGAGCTTTCTTTGAAATCATGTGTTTTAGCTTTCAGTATTACAGTAAATTTCACACTTGACCCCATAGTATTAACAATTAAAAATTTTTTTTGGCCAGTCTCCCAAGTAGTTAAGTAAAATTAATTTATCAAGAAAACAAGCTATGTTTATTTTTGGCTTTGTACCTATCTTGAAATGTTAGTAACATCAATAGTAAATTATAACAATAGCAAGTACTATATGTCAGACACTTTTCTGTTTATATGTATTTAACTCATGTAATCATCACAGTAACCTTCTGAGGCTACTAACTCACTCTTAGGTTAGAACTAACTATTCTTTACAGAGGAGGAGAGCAGAGGCACTGTCACATTCCAGAACTGGGCTTCAAACCCAGATAGCTGAGCTCTCAGTACAACCACTAGATCATTTTAAACTAGACTGCTCCATGTAAATATCCAATATGAAAACACTATGGTTAAAAAACATACACTATGGCATAATCAACTTCTTGTTTTTAAAAATGGGTGCATGAAAACAAATACAAAAAGGTATATGGATGAGTTGTATGCTCATGTGCCAGTTAGAGCTAAAATTTGGAAGCTAGATAATATCCAGTGTAAAAAAATGTAAAATTTCCATGTTTTAATGTTCTATTTGGATAGATAGCTCTTCTAAGTTCTAGCCATCACTAATCATTAGAGGCACATTTTAACTCATACATACAGCTATTTTTGCATTCCCAATTTTTACATTTGCAATCGGGGAGCCAAATTTGGCCCAAACTTTTAAGTGCTAACATTTGGAATTAAGATATAAGATTTTACTTAAAAAGCATTTTTTACTTGGAAACAGATGGATAAGCATGAGTTATTCACTTGGTAACTATATATGCTCATGAAATTAAGAAACAGCCCAATTCTTGTGTATGTCCGCTTCTTTCTTAATTTCAACCACTTGTCTTAGATATGTATTTTCTAACTACCAGGGCATACTATCCCTCATCTGAGTACTATTACTCATGTAATACTTATCATAATCAACTAATTTAGTTTACATTCACTTTTCCATGTTTTAGAGAGAGCTGTATAATAAATATTCTGTATATATCTGTGCATATCTATTGCCTTTGGATATTAGTTTCTTAGGTTAAATTCATCAAAGCAAAATTGTTAGGTAAAAAAATATACAGCATTCTGAAGCTTTTAATAAGCTTGCCAAATTGCCCTCCAGAAATACTATCCATGTTATACTTTTAACTAGCATGTTTTATAGTTTGTATTTCTCCAAATTCTTATCATAGGTAATGTCTTGTCAATTGATAGGTGGAAAAATCAAATTTTAGTGTTTTAAATTTGCACCTTTTTTCTTTGTTAGTAAAGCAAGCCATTTGCACAGGTTTACTAGCCATTTGTATTTCTTGTCTGTGTATAGCTTTTTCCCCCCATGATCTTATAGGCATGTTTGTGTTCATGGTTATTGTAAGAACTTCCTATATATTAAGTTTATTAGTACTTTGTCTAATATTGCAAATATATATTTTTTGATCTTCTTATTTGTTTGTAAAACTTAAAAAAATTTTTAAAGGTTTTTATATCACATATTTTTATCAATCCTTTCCTTCTAGTTTTGACCTCAACCTGTGAGGTCTTTTGAAGTACATTTGCTGTTAAATATAATCCCAAGCACTCATCTTTTTTGATTATTTTTTCTCTTTTTTGTTTTTTAAATTATAAAAGTGTGATAACACATTTACAGAAGACTTGGAAAATTCAGAACAAAATTACATATATATATTACAATTATTTTCTCAATTAGATAAGTTGAGATTTTTAGTTGAAGTTTCAATATCAAAGTCTCAAAAAGTAATAGAATAAATAGACAGAAAAGTAGAAGGATATAACAGACCTGAAAAGCACCATGAACCAATTCAACATAATTAAGATTAATACAATTTTTACACAACAGCAGGATACAAATTCTATTCAAGTTCCCATAGACTATAAACCAGGAGACACTGGATATATCCAGAAATGTAAAAACAAGGTGCACAAATTTCATCGTCTAAAGGTATTAAAATCATACAGAGTCTTTTCTCTTATCACTGTGGAATTATACTGACTGTATCATTTGCTGTTTGCATTTGTTTCTAAAATTGACTTATAATTCTACTGTAGGAGGTATGAAGTAAAGTTGCTCAGTCACGTCTGACTCTTTGCGACCCTGTGGACTGTAGCCTGTCAGGCTCCTCTGTCCATGGGATTCTCCAGGCAAGAATACTGGAGTGGGTTGCCATTTCCTTCTCCAGGGGAATCTTCCTGACCCAGGGATCGAACCCGGGTCTCCCGCATTACAGGCAGATACTTTAACCTCTGAGCCACCAGGGAAGCCCAGTAGGAAGTATAGTTTCTGCCAATTTTCCATTTTGTATGGACCATAATAAACTATCTTATAATTTTATATCTTTGTATAATTCCATTTCTTTTTAATTTTTTAAAGTTTGTTTATTTTTGGCTATGTTGGGTCTTCATTGCTGCACACAGGCTTTCTCTAGTTGCAGTGAGCAGGGCCTATTCTTCATTACAGTGCATGGGTTTCTCATTGGGGTGGCTTCTCTTGTTGCAGAGCACAGACTCTAGGTGTGCAGGTTTCAGTAGTTGCAGCACATAGGTTCAATAGTTGTGGCTCATGGACTCTAGAACGTGGGCTTAGTAGTTGTGGCAGATGGACTTAGTTGCTCCGTGTTATATGGAATCTTCCTGGACCAGGGATTGAGCTCTGGTCCCATGCATTGGCAGGCGGATTCTTATCCACTGTATCACCAGGGAAGTCATCCATTTCTTAGGTTATAATTTCTTTAAGCTAAATTCCTAGAAGCAGAATTGCTAGGTAAGAGCTAACACTCTCTGAATCCTTAACCTTTCATTCAGTTCAGTTCAGTTCGGTCACTCAGTTGTGTCCGACACTTTGGAACCCCATGGACTGCAGCATGCCAGGCTTCCCTGTCCATCACCAACTCCCAGAGCTTGCTCAGACTCATGTCCACCGCGTTGCTGATGCCATCCAACCATTTCATCTGTGTGTAACCTTGCATTAGTCCCTATGCTAAATGCTTTATGTGTATTTTCTTCTTCAGGAGCTACATATCTTATACCTTATTAGTTCACTGGTACAATTTGCCAAAATTGCTACAGTGGTATATACTTTGGGTCATTAGTTATCCTATCACAATCCAAAAAACTGTGGGCATTGATACCTGGGGAAAGAATCACAAACTACTGTGAAATAACTTGTAACTGTGTGTTAAACCAGTTTGGCCTTCCAGGGAAAGGCTGATTTCTTTTTGTACGGATCCTGATTTTCATTTCATTTCTTCCTTCCTGCCATACCTTGCAGGCAATACAATATGGTACTGAAGATAACACTACTGCAGTAGTAGTGCCTTTTGGTGCCTGGGGAAAATACAAGAACTCTGAAATCACCTTCTCATTCAGCAGAAGCTTTGCCTCCAGTGGACGATGGGCCTGATTGCTTGCTGGGACTTGTAGTTTCTGTGCAACAGTTTTTCGCTGAGTGTATCAAGAAACTGATTAGATTTTAAAAGTCAACTGTAAGTGGTGACCCTAGAAATCACTAGACCAGTACATAAATCAACATAAACTTAGTAACCATCTACATAGTAGTTTTTCATAAGTACCTGTGATATTTATGTTCTGCTAACTGTATATACTCAGCATAAATATGTGGAATTCAGATACTGTGAGTGAGCCTCTGCGTTGAGTGAGCAAATGAAACATGGTTTTGGTATGCTTGCTGAGTGTTAAGTTTCTAATTTTTAAAACTTTTAGGCAGCTGTGAGCTTCTTTTGATCATTTCTAATCTTTATTCATTTGACCAGGTTCTTGCCTTCAAGTTCTTCAAAACTAGTCAATATATTGACGGCTACTCAATGTGTTATCTGCAAGTGTTTACTATATTTTGTATTCTGCATCACTTACTGGTGAACTTAACAATACAAAAGAAATTAATTCGGCTAACATGACACTGTTAAACTGTATACATATGTACTACAGTGCACTTACATATTTCAGCTGTGTCACCAGCTCTCTCCTATGTGTGCTGTACTAAGTTGCTTTAGTCATGTCTGACTATTTGTTCCCCTGTGGACTGTAGCCCTCCAGTCTCCTCTGTCCATGGGATTCTCCAGGAAAAAATGCTTGAATACGTTGCTATGCCCTCCAGGGGATCTTCCTGACCCAGGGGTCGAACCTGCAGCTCGCATTGCAGGCAGATTCTTTACCTCTGAGACACCAGGGAAACCCCAGGTCTCTCTTGCCCCCACTCAATTCATTCCTGTTTTTCTGTTGCTAATATATAGCTGTGACTATTCATTCATATCAGAAAAGAATGTCCAATATAAGAGTTCTTTGGTCAAAGCTATACAAAGTACATCTGATAGTATCAGGTATTTTGTATGAAGTTTCTATTTGTTATCTCTAATCCCCAATTTTGTGTTTTGTATATAGTCTGTTTATATCACTTTTTGTATACAATAAGCAAGTCAGATAATTTGTCCTTAAAGATAATCCCACATTGACTGATAATTGCTACAGACATAGCTTGAAGTTTATGTCTTCTTTTTCGAAGTCTCATAAAGAATAAATCTTAAAGCATTATCTATTTCAGCTTGCTATGTAATTTAGGGATATAAAACTGTATTTCCTTATATACGTGTATAAGTTTACTGTTAAAATGTGAATCCCTGAATATGTGTATGGAATTATATCAGCAGTTTAATTCTGCAGACAGTGTAAATTTGTTATGTGTAGGTGTATGTACATATGTATATTTTCGACTAATGGAAAATGAAAGGGAACAATCTTTCATAGCTCCTTCACCAGTTAGCTGTATATTATTGATACATTTATCTCTAAGGACTCTTGACAAACTGAGGGAAGTTTTGTAGTGGAGAACCAACGGTTACTGGCAGATAGGTTAAAATTATTGTAGGAGATATTTTGTGGTAGGTAACTTATGTGGAAAAAGCTAGGAACAGAACCAGCATGTTGAAGCTACATTGTTATATGGTAATTTGCATATAAAATAATAGGGTGTGAGAAGAATGCTTAAATGTTAAGAAAGATGTGGAGTTTTGTTGTAGAAACAAAAGAAACACCAAAACTTTAAAGTTGATATAATTTAAACTCTTAGCTTTCTGGTTGATGTTTTTTTCTTCTTTAAGTTTTACTCAAGGCTTATTAGAAGGAAGAGGGCACAATATATTCACATCTTCTCACCTTTTTGGGAATGGAAGAAAATAAATCTTGAGCTTTCCTATCTGTATTAGTTAGGAATTTTCCTTTGGAAAAAAGTGGTATGGGAATATTTCAAGTTTTTTTTTTTTTTCTTTCAAGGAAGTTTGGTAAAAGAAAGGAAAATATTACAGGAAAGAATATGGTCTTCTATTTGTTGCCTGGAAAACGAGGAACCAAAGTGGTCTAAGAAGGCTGGAAAACTTTCTCGCTTTTTCTGTGTAGGGTCCTGGGACATAAACATGGAGGCTCCATTTAGGAGTACGAAGGGTTTCCAAACTAGGAAGCTAACAGAAACTCTGAAGCACAGATGACCTCCTAAAAATGTAGGTTTTATTTTTGTTTTGAATTCTTCACTTTGCTATTCCTCTCTGTTATTTTAAAAAAACAGGGGTGGGAGTGATGTCAAGTTCAGAGGTCTAAGAGTCACTGATCCCATTGGGTGGATTGCCAACTGTGACAAAGAATTTGTAGACTACATAGGCCTTGGTCTGGGATGGAGTTTGCTCTGATCCACCTGAAAGTTTTAAAACCTGAAACTAGTCAGCTTTGACTACAGCATAAAAACACACTGGTTTGTTTTTTAAGCCACAATGTTGAAGTATAACTTTTAGATTATTATAACCCATAAAAGATAAGCATACATGTATTAGGCTTCTAAGTCTATTACTGAAAATTATGCAAATAATGGAACAAAAGGACTGTTCTAAATAGTTTTTTTAGTTATAACTGTGAATTTGCCATGTGGCTATTACCATGTGGGTATCAGTATGGTATAAATTATATTAATATAATTAAACTTAAATCAATCATATTTATGTTTGCCTTTCATTTATATGTAGTATATAAATCATCTTTCTAAAATGTATTGCCAAACTATTTGCCATCATTGATTTGGCAAAATATTCTGAAAATCATTGTGATTTTTTACAAGTATAAATTAAGTACCTTATATATTCAAGTGTAAATGGAATCCTGCTTTCTATCAACCATTTGCTACAGACCCTTGTGTTAAGTGCTTCAAAGTTTTATTCATTTTTTCCCAGAGAAAAAGAGTTTTGGTGGAATCAGTTTTGAATTTCTATACTCTATGATGGGAACATTTCTCAAGTCCATTTAAAAAATTACTTACTTTGAAGAATTGTTAGCATGTAATTTAAATAGAAATTATTTTTTCAAAGTTGGATTTTATTTTTTTAATGAATCTTGGCAGAGAATGAGTAGGCCTATGTTAACTTTTCAGTATCTAAAACAGGACATTTAGTTTCCTTTCAAAAAATGGGCAAGGATTAAATTTCATGATAATATGACAGACAATAAGAAAATGCTCCAAGGTGGGGTGGGGGAAGGGATAGTTAAAGTTTAGTATTGAACACTTAAACACAAATACTCACTTGTATTTTCCTTTAGCACTTCAGTTGTTCATATACCTGCATCTGTGGAAAGTGACATAAAACCTTGGTTGGGTTACATTTTATTGTATTTATTAGATTCACTTCTCTGGATGAGTTCAACAGAAATAAAAAGTCATGTCTTTAGAAGCCAAACTGTGATGGTCTGCCTATTGCTTTTGGCATCTGGAATGAGACCGCCTGACTCTCTGGCAGCTCCCCTTGGTTGTTAAGATTGTTGAAACAACCCGTTGATGGTCCTATTAAGCGTTCCAGGCTGTGAAATCATCATGTTGTTCCATCTCCAAGAATGACTTATACTTCACTGGATTCCTGTACAGAGCTGTGTCCCAAATTAAGTTCTGCCAAAGTGCTCTTGTGTACATTGGTTTTATAATTTACCAAAGTACTATTTGGTTGTAAAGCACTTCTGTAGTGTGTTGATATAATCGCTGCTTTGACCATTGTTTTGAAAGTATGAATTAGAGTGACTGTAAGCATACTAAAATCACAGTGTTTAAAACATTTAAATAAAGTACATGCATTAAACACTTTTAAAATCCAACTGTGTTTGTTTGGCATCCACATGCTCCAATATTTATTATGTGGCCCTATGAACACTGATATAAAGGAGTCAGTGAATGATTGGAAATTTTTTAGCAGCCAAATTCTGCCTGTTTGCAAAACTAACATGAGAATCTTTGAAAATATTATATAGACTTATATATTCAAATCTTTTTGATTTAATTTAAAATAAGATTTGTCTCTTGCATGTCCCTCATCCAAAATATTTGTTGGTACATCAGAAGAAAATGGTTGTGATTATTTCTACAGTATTTTGCCTGTGATATTTCACTGCAGCATCTCCATGTATTAAAAATGAGAAACAAATGTTCAATGGAAATTCCACAAATAAGCAAGTTTTAATGTCCTCATTGATTGAATAAAATGTCATGGTTGCAGTCTTTTGGCACAAGGATCTCTTCTAAAGTATCCTCTGAAGGTAACTTGGTAAACCCCATGGTAGCAGAGATGAATTTTGTTTTGTTGAAACTCCTGACCAAGAACGTTTTATACTTTTAGCAATGAGTATAAAATGTTTGTTGAAATCATTAATGTTTATTGAATAAGTGAATTCACTTCATTAATTAATGCATTGAATTACACTTTCATTAATTTTATGTTAGTGGGGAAATGGGCATTAGCTATATTAAATATTAAGCCATACATAGTATTTAATGGTGAAGGAATAGTATTTAACGTCTTTCCATGTTTCCTTAGCCTGTGTCAGTTTTGCCTTGTAAAGGATGTTAGTATAAGTACGGTACAGAATTTCGTTCTGAACAAAACCTAAGGAGCAGTGCTGCATGGATGACTATAAGCTTACTTTAAAAGGCTGAGGAAGGGAAATGGTTATTAAGAATCTCTGTGCTATTTTCTTTTGCATATATTATCTCTCTTTTTTTAAATTTTCATTTTTTGCTGCAATGTGGTACATGCAGGATCTTAGTTCCCTGACCAGAGATCAAACCTGTACCCCTGCAGTGAAAGTGCAGAATCTTAACCTCTGGACTGCCAAGGAAATCCTATTATCTCATTTAATCTTTCTTTGGGGGGTGTGGAATGGGGAGAATATTTGTGAATAGTACAGTGTAGGTGTTAACAATATGATCCCTAGAGTGAGAAAGACTTGTTTTTGATCATTTAATCTTAATAACTATTCAAGGAAGCCTTTCTAATTATCATTTTTATAGATGAGGAAATGGAGCCTTTAGCTAATAACAGCAAGATCTAATCCAGACACTTTTGACTTCAGAGCCTTTCT